TATCTAGTACAATAACTCTTTCTGCCTGAGTAATTAATTCTGAGAAATTGGCAAGAGATATAGACAAACCACTTAAATAAGTTTGTGTTTGTGAGATAATTGATACAATCTCATCTAATACTAGAATATAAGGATTTGGAGGACATTTATGCGAAGCATGGTCTAAAGACCTACATTTTTTATCATCTTTACATTTATTAGTAATGTGATGTAAACTTTTCACCTGACAATAGCTCTCTCAGATTTATAGGTCTATCGATATCACAATATGATTTGAGATTGAGCCTGGTAGTAATAGCATCCAAATATGTGTGTCGAGTCGATGCTATGAGTAAGCTTGTATTTTTTGGAATATTTAAATTTTCTATAGCATATGTTTTTCCTGTTTCCCAACACGAACCTATATAAATATCGTTTTCTTTAGATAAAGGTTTCACATATCTTTCTTCATATCTTTTTGATACGGTAAGGGGTTCATTGTATTTAACCCAACCTGGCATTTCTAAGAAGGGTTTTGGGAACTTAGTGCCCTTTATTTTATGAGAAATGGGTGAAAGAACATTATTTTTATTTTTTTGCTAAATTTTTTCCGTGATAGATGGGTCATTGAAAATTTTCTCAGGTTCATCTCTATTTTGCTAGAAGCATTTCACAATGAATGTTCCATCATAACGCGCACGACCGAACCAACGCTGATCCTTGTCATGTGTGTATTCACAAATTGAATATTCTAGATATGTTTTCCATACCATTGAGAATCTTTTTCTTCGATATCCCAACTCCCAAGATATTCAGAATACTTCTGCAAAACTAGATTCGCATATTTTTTTAATGCATCATAACCCACAATTATTTTTTTCTGATTATTTATTTTTTCTATACTAAGTATATGGGGCCTTACTTCATATCTCAAACTAGTAGGTGGTTGAACTTTGGTGTCATTGAGATCATTCTACCTATTATCTAGTGAGTATTGGAGAATGTGCTTTACACGATCTTTTTTTGCTAAACCTATTAAGCGGAGACAGAAATTTCGACCAGGTAACCCTCTATCAATAAACTTTCTATATTTTTCTCCGGTTAATCTGTATACTAATTCTGTAAATTCTTTTAGCTCTAGATAATCAATAAGTAAAGTTGGGCATATAGAAGGTGATAACTGCATTTATTATTATTAGATGATGTCATAATTACCAATCCTTCAATAATTTCTTCCCAACTACAATCAAGAATTCAATACAATACTCTTACGAATGAACAACAAATACTGAAAAATACATTTTTAGTATTAACGTTTTCAGCTTCCATTTTTTCTTTAGATGTGTCAATATCAATCATAGCTCTTAAAGGCCATTGCCCGTTAATACATTCATGAATTTCAGGTAATCAATATATCTCAGATATGTCATCTATGACAGAAAACTTTGGTGCTTGTTTATCTTTTTGGTCAATTTGGATAATCAATC